CAATCAAATTCAGACATTGTTGCAATCAAATTTGGACATTGTTGCAATCAAATTCAGACATTATAGCAATCAAATTCGGACATTGTAGCAATCAAATTCAGACATTAAAGCAATCAAATTCAGACATTATAGCAATCAAATTCAAACATCAGTAAAATCAAATTCAGACACCATAGTAATCAAATTCAGACACTATAGCTATCAAATTCAGACATCATAGTGATCAAATTCAGACATCATCGCAATCAAATTCAGACATCATTACAATCAAATTCGGATATCTATCACAATCAAATTCAGACATTGTAATATCTGAATTTGATTGTGATGATGTCTGAATTTGATCACTATGATGTCTGAATTTGATCACTATAGTATCCAAATTTGATCACTATAGTGTCTAAATTTGATTGCTATAGCATCCGAATTTGATTTTATTGATGTCTGAATTTGATTGCTATAATGTCTAAATTTGATTGCTTTAATGTCTGAATTTGATTGTTACAATGTCTGAATTTGATTGCTATAATGTCTAAATTTGATTGCAACAATGTCCAAATTTGATTGCAACAATGTCCGAATTTGATTGCAACAGTGTCCGAATTTGGTATACAAAACTGATATTATAATATCATCTATATATTACATAGATAATTATCCAAATTTCACCATCAGTAGGTTTTGAACTTACAATCTATTATTTGGAAGAATGACAACTTATTCATTTTACTAAGTCATTACACTCTTGGAATTTATTTTAGAAAAAAAGATTATATACTAAAGAACATGTGAACTAGAGATATAGTTGTATTTATTTTTTTAAGCTATTTGGACTAGAAGCTTAATAGAACTTGAATTGAATACTAAAATAGTAAAGATATATTGTAAAGTAAGTACTAGGGTTAAAGTAAACTCTATAAATGCATAGCAGTTTAATAATACATTCTGACTACAAGTATCAATCTTAGCTATAATATTATCAAATTAGTTGTAAGAATAAAATATAAAAGGTTTAGTACAAGATCAAAAGTTCTTTATATAAGTAAACTGCTTTAAAGACTTAGTAATCATAGCATATTTGCATTATTATCAACTAAAGTATCTTGATAGGTATAGGTAGATAAGTGGATATAAGAACTAAAGTGTTTAAATAGAAAACTTATAAGCAGGTTTCAGATATAGCAGCTAGCATAGAACCTTCAAATGGACTACTTAAATTAGACAATAACTAAACTTATATAAGTAGCTAGTTGTACACTCTTTCTATAATTGTCTTTTGTAGTTGTAATGCAACTATTAGCTAAATGTATTATTAATAAAATTCTAGATTACAAGTATATATCTTAATATTTAAAAAAAAAAAAAAACTGTCTTGACTTTGTATTTAAAAGTTATATTAACTAATCTTGTATTTTTTTTTAAAATTAAGTCTTTAATTAATATTTTTTTGATTTTTATTTTTTTTGATTTTATTTTTCTAAAAAGTACTATATATAGCATATATTAAGAAACTTAATTTTTTTTTGTTTTTTTTTTATATTATTGTAATAGTCATTTATGTATTCTTTTTTAAAGATTTGTTTGTTTTTTGCATAATATTAAATATATTTATATTTTTTTTAACTTTATTTTTTTTTTATTTTCTCTTAAGCAGTCATGTTAGTACTTTATTAAGATTTTGAAATTACATTTGCAATTACATAATATTCTTAACACCTAAGTCTAGCATTATCTAGCTATTCTACTAATACCTAAGTACAACCTGCTGTATTACTTTAAGCAAAAATAAGCTGCTCATCTAACTACTTAAAGTTTATAATAAAAGAGTCTTCTTCCTTTTATAACAAGCTCCAAAATTGTTTTTGTATTTGTTTTCAATTTGTTTTTCTTTTTCTTTTACCTTTTTTTTTCTTTCTTCTATTTTTTGCTAATTTGGTTTTTCTTTTTTGTTTGGTACTTTTTTTTTTTTTTTTTATTCTACTTGTTATTCCTTTATTTTTCTCTTATTTATTGATTTTTTTACATTGAATTCTTTATACTTGTTCATAGAATGTATTTCAGGCCATATTTGCTATTATATGCATAAACTGCTTTCTTGATTTTGTGCTTAGGAACTGTCTCAATCTGTCTTGTGTTTTTTTCGAAATAAGATCTTTAATTAGTGCCTCTTTTATTTTAATTTTTTCTGTTTTTGTTTTTCCAAAAAGTGCTATGTATAATATATATAAAGGAACCCAACTTTTCTCATCTTCTTTTAACCTCTTTTAGACTATTATGATGGTCACTTTTTGTATTCATTTCCAAAGATTTCTTTGTCCTTTGCATTTGCCAAATGTGTCTGTATTTTTTTTGTTTGATCCTAACAGACTTGGCATTCTGTTGTTGTATATACACCTGGTCTTTTTTTGTTAAATTCTTCTAACATTAGAAGTTTATTCATTATATACTTTATAAATGCACTTCTTCTAGCACTACTTCTTCTTATTGTGCAGTATACTTCTTTTGCTATCTTTAGTCTTTTTCAAAAGTATATCCAATCATAAATCATAACTTCTGTTTTTGGTTCTAGTTTTCTAATTGTTTTTATTTTTTTTTTATTCTGATTCTAATCTTGCATTCATTATTAACTTGCAAAACAATCTTGCTAGTATGCAGTATGTTTGTTTTCCCACTTTAGACAATACTTTATCTTTTTGCAACTGACTTATTTGGCCTATATTGTCTTTTTACTTATTGCATCTTTTTTTGCTAGGCTATTAGCTTTGTTATTTTATCTATTTTTACTATGGCTTTTAACCTTGAAAAACTCTATATAAATGTTTTTTGTCCTAATAAGATCTCTAATTTTTATTATTTATATTGCATTTTTCTTCTTGAAAATCTTATTTCTGTCTATATGTTCTAAACCTCTGCTAATGTTTTTTATTGCAGCATTGCTATCTGTATATACTTCTATTTGCTTTTTTTTAGTACTATTAAAATTGCTACCTATATTTCTACTAACTCTGCTATTGTTAATGTTTGCTATTCTTCTAGTCCTAGTGCTATCTTCTCTTTTAATTATTCTTGTATTTTATCTGTTTGCATCTATTCTATCTCATATTACGTTTACTTCTCTTATCTTCTTTAGTTTTCAAGTTTGCTGTTCTATCTGTATATATTGTATATTTGTTCTTTTCCTTATTATATTTCTTTCCAAAACTTCTATTATTTTTTAACTGATATTCTCTTTTAAATTTTGTCATCTGATTATCTCTACTTCTAGCTCTTCTATTGTTCTTAGTTTCTTGAGTTTTTGTTCTCTAATCTTTGGTTTCTTTATCTTTGTTACTTCTATTATTTGGTCTATTGCTATCTTAATCTTATTGCTATCTTTTCTTATCAAAGCATTTGAGATTACATTAATTTTATTGTTTATTCTTATTTACTGCTAGCAGTTATCTTCTAAATGTTTTTCATTTATTGTACAACTCTTGCATCTGTTAATTTTGACAGCTAGTTTACTTTTTTTGCTCTGCATTTGCCAATGTTCTACTAATATTTTTTTTTTTCCTTTTTAACTATTTTTTCTAATTGTCAATAATTTTATATACTATATATTATTTATTTTTTTCTTCTTTTATCTTTTAAGATATACTTCTATTTTATTTGTATTGTTTGAATATTTCACCTGTTTGTTCTAAAATGTCTTTTAATCTCTCTGCTTTTTGATTTATTAAGCACTTCTAATTTCATTATTTTGAACTATTTTGCTTTTTTTCTTTTACTTAATAAACCTTGGTAACTTTTTAGCTATTGTCATGTAATCAATCTTTTTCCTCTTGTATCAAGCAACTAATTTAAATATATTAAGCCTGCTTTATTTATTTTAGTTCCACTTCTTTTTCATAACTATGTATTTATAAGTTCTTTTACTTTGACTCTATATCTCAGCATTGTCTATAAATTATTTTCTGTTTTTATATTTATATTAAATTTCTTTGCTTTTAGTAATATTAGACAAGCTAAGTTACTTTTTTAACCTTTTATGTTCTCTAATATTTCTTCTATTTTCTATATATCTTTTGTAAGACTTGCTTTTTGGCAATTTCATGTTATTCTTAATTTCATTAACTGTTTAAAACCATCTTGTCTGTTTAGTCTTACTAGTAGGCCACTTATTTGTTTTATTACTAATTTTTGTTGTAATATTTTGTAACTACTGAAATCTTTATGTTTTAATATGCAGTTTTCTAATGTTCTTTGCAGGTTGCTTTTTTGTTTTACCAGGCTTATTATTGGTTGTTGTATTTTACTTATGCTTTTTTCTGACATTTTTGTTAATTGTAGCATATAGCTTAACTTTGATATTATTATCATATTGTTTATATATGAATCTGGCTTATTGTTATTTTTTTGTATTTGAGATCTCTTAGCAACTGGCTAATTATTTTTTTAGCTTTCTTCTTTACTAATACTTTACTCATTCTGTTATTTAGTCAGATTTTTAATAAGTGAACTATCTTGTTCTTTATTTCTTTTGTTATCTTGCTTTTCCTAAAAATTGCTTTTCTTTTTTCTTTCTTCACTTTTGTAGTTATTATTAATAGCTTTGATTTGGATTTATTTATTTTTATATAATTTATCTTAAAGAATTCTTTTGTTATCTTTAATATTTCTATTAGCTGTTCTTTACTATTTGTAATTTATGTTGTATTATCTGCATATGCAATAGCTGTTTGGCAGTATCTTGTAATATTGTTGCATTGTATGTCTTTTCTGACTTGCTGCTTTACTATATAACCTAATTCTTTATCTTCTTGTATTTACTTTAATAATGAATCATAAAAAAGCTATCATATCAATAAAGATATTACTTTGCCTTGATCTATGCCATCTTCTGCTATTATTTCTTCTGTTAAGCCATAGGCTGTAATAATTTTTAGTTGTCTCTTATCAAATAAGTTCAAAATATATTTCATTGTTCTTTTAGATATTTTGACTTTTTGCAATGCTAATTTCAAACTCTCAAGTAGAACTAAATCAAATGCCTTTTTCATATCTTGCAGAGGTATCCATATTTTTTTATCTTTCTCTTTTGCTTCTTCTATTATTATGTTAAAAATATATACTAGCTGTTTTGTTAAGTTGCCTAAAAGGCCTGTATAATTTGGTCCTTTTAGTATTTCTTTTTCTATAAACACTTTTGCAAGCCTTTTTGTTATTACTTTTGTTATGACTTTTCTAAAAGGTTCTATTAATGCTATTGGTTGAATGTTGTTTAAACTATATTTTTACTTAACATCTTTTGGTATTGAATAAAGTTGCACTATATTCTATTTGGTCAGTATCTTTTCTATTTCTAGATATAGGTTTG